AATTTGCAACTCCCGCGCGATACGATCTAACGGCGCGCGCGCAGACATTCGATACGCATAGATTTGTATTGTCGCTTTAATGCCATAACGGTGCTGCCGGTGACATGTGGGCCTGTGGGACTGACATACATACAAAAAGTACATACTTTACTCGTAGATATGCATGTAAAATCGTGATAATTCATAAATAAAGATACCTTCACACTTTAACGTAGAACTGTATTGATATAGTAATATTAGTACCTTTATTTATTTATTTATTACAACACACAGATAGTACACAGTGTATACTGTCTGTAATTTATTTAAATATGTATTCTCCTTAAGAGATTTTTTTTTGTTTTTTCTCCTCAATTCAAACTAAGTTGAGATTGGTTTTCATTATAAATAATTGTTGAAACGCTATTCCGTCTCTTCTCACTCCAGTCACCGTTACGTACATGCTTTAGATGCCTGAAAAAACTGTAATAATGATTCTATAATAAGAATATTACTGTAATTCTAATGTTATTTAATCTTGAACAGGAAAAACTGTATTTTATCCTCAATCTTTTTTGCTCTATCCACTATTAGTTTGGCAATGCACGCTAAATTATACAACTGTATGTGTGAAGTGAATTAGATGTATCTCAATGTAGTTATGTTGCCAAGTTGAAGTTGTGAGCGTTGTTGTAGTAGCAATGAGGTAATGCTTGTTAAGGATGGTTGTGTTTTTTAATTACTTTAATTCTAATACGAATGGGTGGTACAGTAATGTAATATCTATATTATTATAGCATAATATCTATATATTATACAATTATCTATAGCAAATAAACAGTTAATTTAGGTAATAATTGATTTGTAAAATTAATTTTAACTAACTTACTACCCTACAAAATTAAGAACGGTCTCAAATGAGATCCGAAAATCTGATTTTCTGACCTGGTTAAGTAAGGTTAAATCCCTATAATTACACTACACTACACAAGTTCATTACACCATACTAACATCAAAACACAAAACTGTAACACAATTATGAAACAAGAAAAAAAAACTAAACAAAATATAATTCGCGCACGCATCGCTCAAAAAACTCGAGTTTAAAGTGAATAATAACAAAAAAAAAAACGAAATCGTTGCTAATTTGGCGCGAATCACGCAGACTAACTGTCACGGTGACGTAAGGGGTTAGTGACCTCGGTGACATCGCGAAACTGTATCTTGGGGTCTGATGACTCTTTTGCTACCTCAATAGTTTTGATTACCATACCTTCACGGTGCTTCTTTTTATGAGAAGCGATTGATACGTTTTGGTCGCTATCATTATCTTAGTTTAGCGCTCTCTATGACGCTGTTTTTTCTGTAAATGACATTATTTGCATTGACAATAGCATTTTTAAACTGATTACTGTAATTTTTTAGTCTTATTTATGATTATTTTACTTTAAGCCGTTTCTAACTAGCTTAATATTCTATTCTGATTAGTAAGGAAACAAATTCATTAAAAAATCTAGAAAACAAACAATATAAAGAACTAGTTCTGCTTTTCCCACATCAACAAGGAAGTTTCGATGATTCATTGAACATAATATATGGTAAATAAGGACATTAAAGCACTAATAACTAGCTAATTATCATTAAATACATACTTAATTATAATGTCTAAGCCTCCAACGCATACAAATATAAAATTATGCAAGATTCTATCTCGTTAGTCTAATAGAATTATAATATACACTCCGGCGCGGTTTTCACTCCCTGCTTGGCTCCTATACATCGTAGCGTGATGTTTTATAGCATACACTTTTCCTCGATAATCAAACTATCCAACACAAAAAGCATTGCCATGTAATATTATAAAAATGTGTCTGTTTATGTCCCCTAATAACCAGTAGTTTCAAAGCCAAGCGCATTTAAACAACAAACAAACACTTCAGCTTTATACAATATATAGACATAGATATAAATATAACAAATATAAGATTATTAGTATAAATAAATAAATATAAGATATATAAACAAATATAAGTATATATAAATAAATATAAGATTATTAGTATTAGTATAAATAAATTAAAGTCTAACTAATGGCGGAATGCAAAATAAAGACATTTCGATTATCATAATTAGTGTTTGACAAACTTTCTTAGCAAAAATTTTAGGCGTAACGAACCAATGTCACCCTTATTATAACTAATTGGGAGCCGATTTTTCTATAATTAAGAGATAAATTAGAAACTTTAGGAGTTTCGGAAGTGATTTATTTATTACTAGCTTTTACCCGCGGCTTCACTCGCGTCACAAAAGGATAAAAAGTAGCCTATGTGACATATACCAATACACAAAGCGCCATCTATACCAATAATTTCGTTTTCCTCGAGAATATCAAATTTTTGCGGGATAAAAAGTGCCCTATTATTTAATCCAGACTTCTAACTTTACGTCTGCAAAAAATCAAAGCAATCGGTTTAGTAGTTACTGCGTGAAAGCGGAACAAACAAACAAACAAACTCGCTTTCCGCTTTAAAATATTAGTAAGGATAAAGATAGCACTTAAATCACTCGGCTATTAATTGTAATCCTGCCACATGCATGTTTACAACCAAATATTCTAGTTTTCTAGTTTCCCAGTAAATGTACCATGTGACCAACGACCAAGGTCAGCCCCTAGGTTGTATAGTTATAAATAAGTGTATGGCACTGCACGCTTTCCACGCACCTTCAACCTTGAGAGAAAACTGATTTTCACTATCGATGCTATCTGAGGATAATTGATATTTAATGGTCATTGGTTATTGGTAATGATACTGGTTTATCTGCTTTCCATATAAATCATCCTTGGATCTTCATTGAGAAACAGTAATTCATGTGATAAAGAATAAGGTTATTGGCAATTGGGATGATGACAGGGTATGTAAATTAAAAATCTAATTAGTCCGTAAGTTATGTAATAAAAAAATATTAGACACGTATTTTTTTATTTTGTCGTATAATAAAACAATACTTAGATAAAACAAATCAATGTTTAAGAGTGGGGGCTAAAACGTCATTTCTACGTATAAAATCTATACATAGAAGTGACGTCACGCGACATTTCAAATCAATATATCGTCGAAAGTATTTATTTCTGTAAGAAAATACAAAATACTTGTCTAATGATTTAAAATAATCTACCAGACGGACATTAAAATAAATATTAGGCATCTACCCTATTTCGAAAAGAAATATCCGACCGAGATTCTAAAAATCTGAGTTTCATCGAATTTGAAACTTATGTACGCATTTACGCTGCCTACTGCTTGGTGAAGAAGCCAGTTAAGCTTTATAATGTACCAGAAAATAATCTTGCATAGTTCTCAAAATCATTAAAGATTCCACTTTAATTAGATGTAAAAATATCCTATAACTATTAGAAATACAATACACGCTACAACTAACAACATAGCTGCAAGTATTTCTAATTATTTCTCTACTTCAACATTGTCTAATAAATAGACCTTACTGCAAAACCTTTTTAATAATCCTGGAATAACTTCACAGAGTTCTAACATTATAGTTATTGCAGGTTCGATACTCAATTCTAATCTGTTGACATTTTTACACCGTGTTATAAAATTGTTGCCTACAGACACCATCTTCTTGTTCATATTTTTCTCTTTAGCACCTTTATCTTAGAATTTTATTGCAATTTGTAATGTACTATGATTATAATACTTGAGATTTAATAAAGTAAAAGAATCATCAGTTTTCTTTTTATATTATGGCTCATCGTAAATTATTTTTGCATGTGTAGTGTATTTAATAGATACCATCTTTAATTCAGTTTCTTTATTAGTTTTGTTGTGTATTATGAGTTTATTAATGCCTGTACTAGAAGTATTAAAGTATGAAATGGCTACCCCTGAAGACAAATGGGATTCAAAGTCTAGTCTAAAGAGTAAAGTCTTTCATACGTTATACGTTGGTCATTTATTTATTTAAATTAAAATAGTATAACATTACAGTCACTAAACCAAGGCGGTATACATTTCAAATAATTTAGAGATACGGGAGAAATAATCTTTAAATGACAAATTGTGAAGATGGTAGAAAAATAATTAAAAAAAACGAAGTTTAGGACCTTTAAGCTTTAACAAGGTGATTGTTAACTAACTTATGTTATTTTAATATCTATATATATAAAAGAAAGTCGTGTTAGTTACACCACTTATAACTCAAGAACGGCAGAATAGATTTGGCTGTGAATTGGTAGGGAGGTAGCTTAGAGCCAGGAGACCGACATAGGATACTTTTTGACCAATTTTTTTTTTACTTTTTACCGAAAATCACGAACGGGGACGGGAAAAAATGGGATTACGCGTACGAAGTCGCAGGCAGAAGATAGTAATAAAATAAAAATAAATGACCTGAATAAAAACTACACACAAAAAGATATAATAAATTAGACACAGGGAGAGGTCACGGTAACTTAAAATTCTCGAGAAGCCGATTATGAGAACGTTTAAGTTCTGATCAAAGAACAATAAGACGGATTCCAAAAACTGCAAGATTTATTCTTATTTTAAAATATCCAGTAAATAACGAAGGTGTCGAATTCTTATGAAATATCGATGAAGAATCAAATCCTCTTAGAATTTCCGAAGCATCGGATTACGAAATCGTTTTATCAAACCCTGAGTTCTTTTTGCATAATAAGAAGAGTCGGGATGTTTAAAATATGATGTCTGATATCGACTACAGATTATAAATATACGGCCAGTATTCAAGTATTTTTTTTAATAGATATAGTGATCCTTATTAATTATTTGACGAGGAACTCGACTAGTAGAGTAGCAGCGCGACAGTCGACGCGTCGCGGGTCGCGAAATGCTGCTCATGAATATGAGCCTCTAGCATGGCTTGAAACTAGTCGAGTTCCTCGTCAAATCATTACGTGAGTACGCCGAAAACATAATTTATTGTCTATTGTTTTTGTTCTTTGCGAAATACATTATTTAATGTAAATCGTTTTGTTTCAGGCAAGCCGAAAGATATCAAAATGCGGGTATCTGTTCGTGGCCCCTGGCTGGGACTTCTCCAATCCGCTCTACAGAACAAAGGTAAGAATAGAGAATAACATTAATTAACATTATTTATTGGTTATAGTAATCACTTGCTGATAACAAACATCGTCAGTTAAACTTGCGATGCTGAAATTTGGACGAAATATAGGTACTTAAACCTACCTCGAGAAGCAGTTTGTCCATTAATGAAAAATGCATTAAAATTCATAACATAACATCACACATATTATGCCACTGTACAATGTAACACCCACTTTTCACTATTTATGTTATGAGTCCGCATCAAAATTCGTTAAGTAGTTTTCAAGTTTAACACGAAAATATGAGTGTTAGAAGATTCCTGGGTCTGTGTTAAATGTATTACGACCTCGTGACCTCTCCACCGATGCTTTTTCCTCCATACAGAATTTCCATACAATCCTTGCAATCAGCTTCAACATCAGTAATCTCCACACAAACCTGACCTCGATAGAGTCACAGCACACCCTCACTCCATATGCTAATCACACCAGTTGTCACAGTTCAATTGTTCCCCGATGCGCCTGCGCAAGTCCTTGCCCTCTAATTACTTTCCCGAAGTGATTTTCATAAAGTCCTGTTATGTGGACCATTGTTTCGACGCATGAGAATTGTGAATACGTAATTCTGGTTTGTTTACATGGCTTGAGAAATAAAGAATTACAAGTTACTTATAAGGTGGGTATTTGTGTATTAAAAAAACGTGTATAGTTTTATTCAGTTCTCGGGACTTTCTAATGCTTTTGGGTGGATCATCCAATGACTTCTCTCGCCCGGGTTAAACTCTTACTGACTAAAAACCACCCCGTTCCTACTCCAGCACTTCGAGCCGGAGCCCCGGCAACCCGTTAAGTCCTCCGCGGACTTACTAATATCTTATGACTACAATTAAGTCTTATCAACCTCGTTTCATTAGTGCGAGTGCTAAAACCGAATATTGATCATTCATCCCATGTCTCAACCACATGATAACGCAAATCTCCCGTGATTAATAATTTTCTGCCAACTTAAATCCGCCATGTTTTTTGACACTTTTTGGCGCCAAGACTCAGCCCCCTGCCGGGACGTTATCGTAATCTTTAAATTCTCGTTTCGGGATCTCTTTTTTGTTTGCATAATAATAATATTTCACAGCGTCCTTATCCGCGATGCCATTCGTATCTGACTTTTAACGAAACGACGAAAAAATCAACAATGAATGCGTATGCGTCGTATTTTAGTGAACCTAATATTCGTGACGCTTATTGGTCGTTTAGTTTTGGGAATGGCCAGTAAGATTTGAATTTTGGAACTGGATTTATTTGGTCTTAGTTTGTTTTTATTAGTGGCGTGATGTTTATGTTACAACATCATGATATTTCCTTACAATTTTCTGATCATCTCGTTGGTCTTCAGAATAAAAATTAAAACATTTGAAAAATGCTACATACTATATCATACTGCTCCACTCGCCATGAGCCAGGGATAATAGTGTTTACGACAGCAATAAATATGGCTCCGCGAAACTTGATTAGGGTCTAAAGCGATTTGATTTTTTGAAAAAAGTTTGAGGTGCTGTAGGGGAAGTGGGGATACAATGTTGGCCGGAACATTTTTATTGTAGGCTTATAATATTGTGATTTATGTGATATTTTAAGTATTTTGATCATGTTCCTCACACACTTTACAATGCGCATGCGCATTGTAGTTTGAGAGTCGGGAGGTAACCATGAAGTCATAAGGAGTTGGTTGAAATATTTACTTAGTCTGTATAATTAATCGATTTTATGATAGAAAATAATTTAATATGACAAGTAGCAGATGCTAGACAAAATATCCAAACATCATTTTACTCGAAATTTTAAAATCTTATCTATTAAAACATTCATCATTTAGTATATATACAAAATAAATAAAATATTTACTCATGAAGAAATAATTTTCATTGTAATGTCAGTGTGGAGTATTTAAAATGATATTATTCACGTCGCATTCAAGTGACTTTCTAGCCGTTTCGATTGCGGGATAGCGTCGCAAGCGCTGCTGTCAATACTTAGGACATGCAGAAGGTACACTCGCATTCTATATGTCTTACTTCCTACTCACGCCTTATTCCTATTGGATAGGCAAAAACTATGCTGCTTCTGTAGAGTTTCTATCATATTCATGCAGTTGGTCTTCACTACCTACTTACTGGTCATATACACGAAGGGTGCACAATAAGGTCTAGTTCAAGCGTCCAGCGGTGAATGAAAATGCCCTGATGATGCACCAAAATGAATTTCTTCTGTTATCTTAACCAAGCTAAAATCAAAGTCAAAGCATTTATTTTAATTAAACCATAATTTGGAACCGTCAATAAATACAAAATAAATAATAGTCTGTCAGTCGGTTCGTCAGTGACGCTAGGTGCACGTACCAAAATGTAAATTCGAATGGAGAAGAACGAGCATGAAACTCCATACGTTACTCTTTAAAGGAATGGAATTCCTTGCCGGAATCTGTGTTTCCCGACAAATATTCTCAGTCAGTCAGTCTTCAAGTCCTGAGTGAACAGGTTGCTCATAGGTAGGCGTGCTCCATCGTCGGCCACATCATCGCTTACCACCAGGCGAGATGGTGGTCAAACGTCGACCTATCAAGTATAAAAAAGTTTTCTTTATAAATATCTCGTTTGTATCAGACTACTAAACAAAAGTCACAGGTTCTATGGCATTTTTGGCAATATTTAAATTTTATCCTACGATAATTGAGATAAGTAGAAAGACTCTCAAATGTATTTTCTTAAACTTCTGCCATAATTCTGTAGCGTGGTGACTAAGTAGTGCGGATCGCACGCACGACTGCCCATAGAAAGCAATGCCAAGATATTTTTACTCGATTTTTGTAATAAACTAGGAAATGCAGAGACAATTACATTTTACTACTTTAACTGAAATGACGTTTTATATATTTCAGAGCGATTTTCTTGCAAATTGCTTTCTTAGAGAGTTATTCTTTAACCTTCCTCAAGACCTTTTAACTTGCAATCTTACGTTCACCAAGCGTAAAGATTAGAGATTATGGCAAAGTGTTTTTTTTTACACTTTATAGGTCGACGTTTGACCCACCATCTCGCCTGATGGTAAGCGAAGATGTGGCCGACGATGGAGCACGCTTACCTATGAGCAACCTGTTCACTCGGGACTTGAAGACACCCAAGTCATATTTGACGGGAAACACAGCCTCTGGCAAGGAATTCCATTCCTTAGCGGTTCGCATGAGGAAGAAGAAGTGTCCTACGTAGAGGCTTATAGCTGTGGACTTAAGGGCTCCATGATTATGTTGATAATTTGTAATTGTCTTCATATTTGGCATATTTTCGCTTATAGGTTGGTTTGATACGTCTAAACCTAACTAAGTCGGTGCTACAAAACACGGTGCTAGAAAAAACCAAATAAGGATGTTCAGAATTACATAATTCGTAGCAATCATTTACATGATTGCATTCTGAGTGCTTCAAGGTCAAAATAATAATCTTAATTATGTTTAATGTCGACCAATAAGAGTATAACCTGTGCTCACATTACTGGGGTCAAATTAAGGTGATGCTAAGTCCAATATGATTCTTAAAGAACGGGATTTAGGTAGTTTTTTGTTCGAACTTCGCATAAAACATTGAAAAGGATATGGATATCGTAAGAGGATATGTTTTAATTATAATAATTAATTGTTATTGGATTGGATACATTAAAAGTATCCTTAACCGACGAGCATGCATCAATGACTGTTAATGAAGCGAAAGAGGTATGTAAGAATCGTACCAATTGGCATTTCATAGTCTCTGCCTACCCCGATGGGAGACAGGCGTGAAGTTATGTATGTATGTTATTGGATGGAATAACGAGTTCTCCTTTAGTGTGGAGGACTAAGGAGGAGGAAGGGTAAACAGCGTTAAGATAACCAAATATAAGATTGATACAAAGTCACTAAAATGATGATGGTGTTGAAAATACTCATATTATGGCGTGACCAGTTTGATGCTAGAAATGAAAGACCCAAATACAGTCTTGTGTCTTTTTACTTAGCCTTAATACGAGTTTCTTTTTCGTTTAAAATAATCGATACGAGACGGCGTCCGGCGCTCTGATTGGTTGGTTCAATGGAGCCGGCCAATCACAGCGCCGAACGCGTACTCCTTACAATTACTTTAAACGTAAAATAAAGGCCTCAGAAGTCCCTCTATATGAGTCTTTTTACAATCGCCTGAACTAGTTTTAAACGCTAACCGTACACAGGATATTACTATTAAAAACCAGGTGTTACCCGGTGTCCCTTTTTTATTAATTAATGAAGATAAACTGAATCAAAAGACCATTATAATCTGTATCATAATGAGCGACCAACCGGTTCTTTTAGCTGATGACCATCCGTTATCAGTTAGATTTACATGCGATGGTGATAATGGGATTTTAATTTAGTCACACGTCTTTTATTCTTTTCTTGGGTAAGCAGAGGTCTATTGGACACCGAATATTCATACATTTTATGTATTTATATTATTGATATTCTCAGTAGTAGCACGGAGTCTAGAATCGTGCCCGGTATATGGCAATAGGCTCACCCCCTATTCCCTTAGTTATTACTGTCGAAGTGATATGGTATGTTAAAATAATGGACCCCGTTTTTCACTGAATTAATATTGAAGTTATAATTATGCGCTTGTGTTTTGGATTGTTGACTGAATGTAAATCCTTAAATATCTGTATAGATGTTTTAATATTTTTCTATATAAAAAAAAACATGATAACCCGATAATCAAACACCACAGTCCTAGGCTTTATCATCTTATCATCGAATGGATGCTCCCGCCTGGGTGAGGCGGGAGGGAGTGTCAGACTCTTACTGACTAAAAACCACCCCGTTCCTTCTCCTGCACGTCGAGCCGGAGCCCCGGTAACCCGTTAGGTTCTCCGCGACTACAGTCCTAGGCTACTATCAAATAAAGAAAAACGGAAACCCATTCACACCCGAACCGGGAACCAAAACAAATCATTAGC